TGAGTTGCCTAAGTTCGACTCCAACATCGTGGACGCTGAGGAAAGAGCGAAAGTAGTATGTGACCAAGTACCGTGATTATTACTGTCCCATCAACCCGTCAGGTTCGACTATATTCGAGACGACGTTCTGTAGGTTCGAATACAGTCTGGAATGCTGACGTGACCCGAACGAGTCCGAACCCGCTGTCATGCTTCAACTTAAACCCATGATTGGAATTCAAGTTGGCGAATTCTTTTCCGCAAAGGCAAGCCAAACACTGCCGAAGACGGTCATTTGGGTTTTATGGAATGTTTTGACGCCAACTCCTTCTTGGTAATGCACATCAGTTCCAGATGGTGTGGTGTTGGATTGAGAACGCATAATCTTTCGGGTCGCGATCAAGACCAGGTGACACGGGTGCCCCTTGACAACACACTCTCACAAAATCTAAATACTACTCCCTCCCTTTTTGCTGGACAATCGAAGGCTTACCTGATGCATAAGGTCTGGATGGACCGTCAACGTGAAAAAGCCATGGGACTACACAAATTGGTGACTGCGACCCTCGGGGTGTCATTGAGAAAAGTTGAGACGATTAAACTCTGGCCAGAGCAGACAATAAATTAGGAAAAACTTTCTTCTTATTAATCATGTGTTTCATATTATTACTCAGATAAATTTCATTTAAAGTTTTATCTCATCTCGTGTCGCCACAGAACTCGAGATAGCCCCCAGGCTAAACATGGAATGGAGAATACAACAGTTTCGTCCACGCTTGCTGTATCTACTATGGCAAAATTCACTTTCCGCAACACAGATTAACTCGCTAAGATATTTTTTCAGGTTTGTCAACGTGTCTGTCTGTATGTGTGTGCACTTGTGCATGCATGTGTGGAGTTTGTTGTTTTCACTCAGAATGCTCCTGATCTCTTCCAGACACATGCTTGGTATTTTGCAATTGTTGTGATATATTTGCCCGAGTTAAAAAAAATTCATTAAAGCCCGATGAATTGGGGCAGAGATTGCGCCTTGTACTCTTCGTTTGTAATTGGAGATGAATGTGAAGAGTCAGACCAATTTTTGTTGCAGCATATATATCATATAGCAGTGGTTCCCAAACTTTTCCTAGTCGCGGCGCCCTTTTTCAATTAAAATTTTTCCATGGCGCCCTA